TGGCCGTACAGCAGGGTTGTGGCTATTTCTTTATTAGCTTGCCCACAAAAGTGCGCAGGATAACTACATCTGCGCCACATGAAGCAGAAAAGGCGTTCTCGGACGTCGGCTACTTCGCGAATAGTTTTCCCGCTTGCCCTGACTAAAAGGGAACTTCGTGCCTGAAGGTCCCTGGGCGCTTCCTGGATGTATAATAAAACGAGAATAAGCCCAGATTTCACGAATGCTCATGACCGGCGCTCTTTCCCTGCGTTAAACCGAGTTGAGCTCAGCAAAGGAGCCGGGAGGTGGATGCCGCCCGCATCGAGGGCCTCCCTCCGCAGCGGGTCTCCCCTTTCGGCGGTTTCGCGGCGGGACCCCTCCCGCGTCCTGTTCTTCGGCGGACAGCAGAGCGGGGGGCGGGGCGGGGCGGGGCGGGTCTGGCCCGTCCTTCCCTCCCTTGCCGCCGGGCCGGGCTGGCACTTTCCCCGGAGGGGCACGTTGCTGTTGCTGCGCCGTCGTCAAGGGCTGAAGTCACCGGCCGGGAGGGGAGGGGCGCGAAGCAGCGGCACTCCCTGACGGCCTCCGGCTTGTCCCGACTTGTTTTGCTGCCTGCCCGGTACCAGCGTTTGGCTCCTGCGGCGGGACCTCCGGGCGACGAGGAGAATCCCTTCTCCCCGGTGAGTCTGCTGCTCCAGGCAAGGAGAAGGTGACTGCGCTTTGGCTTTCTTTTGATGGCTTGTATCCAAAGGACGAATCCGTGAAAGCTGAAAAACAGCTGTCCTGTTCTTCTGGGGTGGACCGGTGAAGCCTGATAGGAGTCCCCATACGGCGGGTCTTGGTGCTGCTTCTCCCCATGGTATTGGAGGACAGAGCAGAGAGGACTCCTGCTAGCCCTGAAAGGCTCAGAGGCCCCTGGGGCAGCTTTTAGACGAAGCGCACTTCAATCCAGTTTATAAATAATTACTTAGCTGGTCGTCTCTGACAGCCTTGTCATCTTCTCCAGCAGATGTGGTGCAACTCCCATCCTCCTTGGCCAGGAGAAGCATAGTGGCAGAGAATCATGGCAGTTAAGAGTTAATCCACAGAGGATACCCTCTGTAGAAAAAGGCTCTGAAACAACCTAGCATGAAAATATGTAAATTAGGAAGTGGCTGCCTTTTATTTTGCTTCTCCCAATCCTGCAGACTTTTGATGTACATCATTAATATCAGTATATATGAGCAAGTGGATAGTAAAATAAGTGCGTTGCTGTAGACGTATTTGCCATTGATGACTGACTTTGGAGAGAGAATTTCTTTGCCGTGGAGATTTCCCCACTTAGAAGCCAATGTACAGAGCTCTTAAGTTGTATTTTTCCTTGAAGACCAACTGGCACATGATTATTGCTTGCTTGCTTGCTTGCTTGCTTGCTTGCTTGCTTGCTTGCTTGCTTGCTTGTTTATTTATTTATTTATTTATTTATTTATTTATT